GATCAAAACTTGCGAGAAATTGTCATTCGAACCTTACTTGCGATTAAACTTTCTGCATCGCGGCAAACGTTGACAGACGACCAAACATTTTTGCACAGACTAGGGTACCTGCAAGCACGGTGCTGCAAGGTAGAGATTGCTACGGGCATTAAAAGCAAATAGAACTAGCACAAATTATATCAAGCACAGTGATTACTCGCAGCGACCAGTGAGCTGTGAATGGAACTGAGAAGAAGCAATATATATTGAAGTAGCAAAGATCAGGGGTTAAAGGGCAATCAGAGGTGACAGATATTAAACATGTGCGTCTCATTGGCATGCAGGTAAATTAATATCATTTTTACAATTATTTTCACATTCATGCAGAATCAAAAAGGTAGAAATAAAAAAGCATTCTTCGTTTACAGACGTTATAAACATAGGGTGCATGATGTGACATGATATTGAACTAAATTGAAACTCTTGGCCCTCGAAATGATGTTTACCTCTGGTCTTTCAAAACAGTTGTCAATTTTTTTTGCGTGTTGGTGCAATGTTTCAGCCTGTCTGACGTGGATATATACTCAGAGTATAGGGATTGGTCATAAAGTAACTGCTAGGTAGGATGGAGGTAAATCACAAATTTTGCCAATAAATTTGGTGATCCATCTTAGGATGTAGATAAAAATTTCAAAGCCCATCTAATCTTGCCAAATTTATTTCATGACCCACCCACCCAATCTAAATTGGGAAAATACAATTTTATAATAAAAAAACATGCAGGTATGAACATTGTAAATATACACTGACACTGTATTGACAAAAATAATTCCATCAAGCTTGACCAACACATTCATCACATTCATACTGAGTTGCTCTCCAGCTGGTTGTATTTGCTGTGATTCGACCACTTCTTGTTGTTGTATAAACCAAAGTACTGGCTTCAATAGCATCATTTGCATTTGACTGATTTGGATAGTTTTGTTTACTTTTATTATTAATATATTTATGTAATATATAATTAACATGGGTTTTTGTTTGGTGGCCCAACCGTGGACAAACCAAAAAATTGGCGGCCCATCGAATCTGCCCAAAGATTTTCCATGGCCCATCCCAAATCAGTCCAGCCCACCCTAGCAGTTACTTTATGATGTACCTGAGTACACCTGAGTACATAAAACCAACGCGCAAAATAATCATGATTACAGAATACATTGGTATTGAAGGAACTAGACTTAATTCCGAAATATCACTTAATAACCGACCTGACCGCGAAGCCTCAGTTGGCAGAGCATTGGGCTTAGTGGTATTCCAAAGGTCGCACTGTTTCGTTTCCCGCCGTGGCCTGCAGGCAAGCAATTATTTTTAATACTCCACCAACATAACCTGGTAATTCAACCATGTAGCCTGCTCAGCAGACCTCATGACGAAATTTGCGAAAGTCTACGCATTAATGCCATGATTTGGTGTAAAATTGCAAGAACGAAGGAATTTCCGTTGCGTTGGGAATTTCCGTTGGCACCCAAGGTGCATGTTAATAAAGCGTAAAAGTTAAAATACTGCTTCTTTGCCGTGATGCATGGAATATATAATATAAGCTAAGGAATTAGGAGGGAAAAGATTGACAAACGGAGTTGTTGTCAGTTGAGAATCGCATTGTATGCAAGTACCATAGTGAGTTTATAACAGTAGCTATAGTAGCTACGAAATTTAAAAATAACAAGCGGACATAAAAGCGAAACATCCGCCCTCCAAAAGTGAGTAACCCCATGCATTCTCCAATCATAGTTGTTGAAATGTTTTGTTGAAGCTTTTCTATCAGGCAAAAAGCAACTGCATGGAATTTAGAAAATAAATTATGTGATGTGGCCTACCCCATTAGCTGTCAGGATTAAAACACTCCTTCCAATCACTTCAGCAAATGCCCTCAATATCATTGACGTGGCATAGTTTTCTTTTAGCATGGCTAAAGCGCTGCTCCAAGAGGAAGGCTTCTTTTTATGTCCAATGTCTTCATCGCAAATGTAATCCATTCGGTCGTTTCCATCTTTCTGCAGGAAACCAAATTCAATTCAATTTGATGGTGACTATTTTATTATTATTGAGTGATATACCGTAGCGAAGCATGATATCCTTATATATGATTTAATTCTACCCTATTTTATTGAATATTGATACTTCTAGTTTCCGTAGGCTAGAATATTTCAGGTTTGACTATGCTAGTGTAACGACTGTCTTTGAATCAGACAACTGTATTAAAATAATCGACAGTGTTTAGTTTTTAATGAATGATAAAATCCGAGCGCAGTTTGAGCTTGCAAATCATTAGATTTATTAGTAGAATACTTAGAAGGACGACTGCACAACTCATCTGAAATATATATGCGAGGCTTCCTGAGTTAACAGCCAGGCTTACAGCAGTCACATTTTTTATCACATCATTATCAAACTAAATCTTAGGATAAAAAAAAGTTATACTTACATCATAACGATTACTCTCCAAGTACTCAAACACCATATTACGCACAGTCCTGGAAGACAACCCCAACTGAAAGCCAGCAGCCGAATAAAAACATAGCCCATCGCCGGGAGGATTATACGAAATCCTTAGTCCAGCCTCTGCTATTCTGTTCTGAAGTACTTCCATTTCAACACAAGTTTTATACCTTACTGCAGCAATGCGGCAACTGAAGACGTTTTTAAGAGAAAGCTCGTCTGCACGTGTATGCGTTAACCAAAGTTTAATCGCAAGTAAGGTTCGAATGACAATTTCTCGCAAGTTTTGATCCAGAACTGAATGCAAGTCCCAATATCCGGGGTGACACTTCGACGTGTCAGTGTTATATTTCATTTTGCTGCGAATTTGTTGCGCCAATGAGACATAACTAACTCAGGAAATATAACAATTAACTTAAAATTAATGTTGAAATATTCCCAGGTTTTAAATTATATTCCCCAGCCATGCATGGAATAATACTTGTATTCAAATTCGCGCAGCAATCAAATTCGCCCAGAGGATAGGAGCCATAGGCATAGGCGCAAGAAATTAGAACATGAGCGGAAAATAATCTGTGCGAAATATTTTTGCTGCCGTAGGCATGCACATGAGACAATTTGTCGTCTGTAAACGTTTGCCACGATGCAGAACTGAATATTGATAGTTAGAAAATCACTTTACAAATTATTTTATACGACATTAGAGTTTAGTTTCTAGATCATGCGGGAAACATAGCTACAGTAATATATATCGCTTTTGTGGATCGTGAGTGCACAAAGGTCGCAAAGGGTTATGTTATGTTTATCAAATGGCATGTCATGTTGACTGCAGCGATCGAAATTTGATCAGTTCGTAATGATCAAAATAGGGTTTATTCGTTAGTATAACTCGGCGTATAAAACATATCTGTTTGTTCAAACTAAACTTTGCGTTTAATAGCGAAGCATACTTACTCTGCGCCATGGCAAATTCCATAATAGGGCTAAAACATTGACGTTGGGCTAAAGCAAGTTAATTGTGATACGTATGTGTAATGGTAAGTATTTGATTCTGTTGCTAAAAAATTGTGAACAAATTATAGAGTCAAAAAATTGACCCTCGACATTTTTTTCGACCCTCGATATTTTTTTCGACCCTCGACATTCTACCCTCGCCCTCGACCTATTACCCTCGACCCTCGACCCTCGACCATTAGTCAAACTCATTTTTTGCTGTATATACAAGTGAGATTTAAATTTTTGCTTTGACTTTGTGAAATAGAATACCATTATTTTTTAATGGACAGCTTGCATCGTCTATAGTCATATCCAGGATTGCTTGCGTGTAAACGTATTATTCAGTATATGACACTATCAAATAAATATATGTAGTAAATGATTAATGAATTAGAGATAAACAGGTGATTCACAATGAAAACTTTAAAAATGTTAGTAGAAGTAGGCTAGAAAACTCGAAAATTTATGTCTATTCGTATGATGCCAATTACGGTCTGTGCGCATCTGACACTGTAAAGTCTTACTATAATTATACAAATTATGTACTAAATCCAGATAAACCAATGACTGAAATTTCCTCTATACTTATAGACATTTCTCTGTTCGGCCATTATCAAATGTTTACATTTGCTAATATTGGGTCAGTCCTAGACATACTGTTTCTTTTAAAAAATTTTATCTTATAAACAAGACGTGTAGTAACAAGTGAATCGGTACAAAGCGTATCAACGTTTACAAGAAAGGACGAATGTAATGGCGTATTTTAAAAACATTACAATATTAAAAGGTTTGTTATAACCGCGCTCGATTGTGAAGAGAACATGCATTGAATAACAACACGAGAGAGCACGTACTGCGAGTAACGATTTGCTTTGTTTCTTGACTTGACTGTAAGTAAGAATGTAAGAATGTTCTTGTAAATTCAAAGCAAAGAAAATAAACAAAAATTAGCAAGTATTTTGAACATAATAATTCGCAAAATTTATGTTTTTAACGAATATTCCACTGGAAGCATGTTTATGTAATTTGATACTTTCCCCACACCCCCTCAGGCGCTAAATTTTTGATGAGGCACGTGACCAGCCGCAGCCAGGGTCTTTCCCAAAGAAAGATCCTGGGTACGAGGTTGACGCAAAAAGTGCATTCACTATACCACATTTAGTCGCTCCATACACAATAGTATCCTTGAAGATATAGATCTCATTATCTGCGCCTGTGTTTTATATTCGATTTATGGGCCAATTTGACTGATGTCTGATCACAGCCTCAGACGAACACAAACACAGGACGCAATGATTTCTGATCACTTCCCCAAGCCAGATCACCGAATGAGCCACAGGAAACTGCCCATGCAAGGCTGAGGTTGAAAGACCAACCTTTAAATTTGGTGCAAAAATCTGTCTCTTTCCAATTTTCTCGCCTCGTGCCCGCATTTTCGGGCGCCCCTTATAACTCCCAAACATAAAATCCTTTAAGAGACAGACTGAGAGCAAGTGTACAAGGACAGCATTACTAAATTATTCAACCGGCCTATAATTTATTCAGTTTCACGTATAGTTTTAAAAGTTCTTCCTATACCTGATCAATTTGATTTTATTGTCCACAAATGTACTGTATATATCGTAATGAATATCAACATTTTCAAGTGTTGCTACCAGATTTAAAAAACAGACTAGTTCTTTATGGTTCAATCACACAACAGATTCCATCAAACTTTGAACCTTTGACGATCTTTGTTAATTTCGGGTCAGGAACAACACCATTTGGATTCTTGGTAGAATGATCTTCAAACCATGCAGCAACTAGACTTGTGACAAGCCTGAAAAATTGCCTATATATTCCTTTTTTTAGAGGCAATGATTCATGAGGTGTTCGATCTGTGATCCAATACACATGGCCTGCAGTCATCGTTTCACTATCTGCAGGTAAAAACTCTCGCAGATGTTCAATATCACCATGTTTACCAACAACATCAAGAGAATCAACTTCAGGACGCAGGATCTCGCAATTCCATACTCTACAAGAATTTTCTACATTTGAAGCCATGAAAATACCACCTTCTAATTCCATCTCTTTGAAATTGAAACTGTTTCCTCCACCCCATCCGAAATATCTATTCATCACACATCCTTTACTATCTTTCAACATAACAACACCTGGAGATTCAGTGTGGATGCCAGGTCGTCTTTGCGAGGTTCCTTCATCAACATAACTTTCATGGATGGTTAGATATCCTATCTTACCTACTTCACTATCCATTATACAATGTTTAATTATTTGATCCCAGTAGTGTCGCAAATATTTAGGAAGCCTTGTTTCTCTGAAATCTCTTCCCATTACAAATGGCATCATATTAATATTGATTTTAGAAGGCTTTGGAAACACAACGACCACATCTTTTTGAAAAAATGCTCGTACGCCTTGCGTTCTGAGTTTGACAAAACTCACGTACGATGTGTCGGCTTCTTCTGGATGGGAATTTTCATCTGTTTTCTTAATTCTTGATTTCCAGTGATCCACCACATTGTTCCATATGGCTTTCAATACATAATGCAGGCCAAGCAATTTATGCAAAGGACTTTCAGTGTCATAGAGACCTTGGAGTATCGCTCGAGCTACTGGGTTTAGCCGTGTGATTTCATCTTTGTCTTCTGACATCTTCTTGTATATGATGACTATACTCACTCCAAAAAAACTCTACACAACAGAAAAAGAATCATAAAAATCTCTGATTAGCAGATAGCGAACACCAACGAACACATGATTCAGAACACACACATACACATGTACATATACATATACATGTATGTATATGTAGCTATATGTATATATGTATATGTAGCTATATATATATATATATATATATATATATATATATATATATATATATATATATATATATATATATATATATATATATATATATATATATATATATATATATATATATATATATATATATATATATATTTATTCAAATATATATATATTCATATATATATATATTCATATATACAGGGTGTATCAAAAAAAGTAAAACAATTTTGAAATTGCTCTCAATTCCACAATTCTGTTCATGAAATGTAATTTTTGCTATATATGGATTGCTTGAGTTCTTAAATTATAGAAAATATAAAAAAAATTGAAAATAGCAAATTTCGCTATCCAGGGGTGTGGTCAACTTTTGCTCCCCTAAAAGTGGCTTGCGCACGGAAATGACAAACGGTATTCTTTATTTGAGTTCATGTATGGAAAGTTCGCTATTTGTTGCATTTATGATAAAATTTCGGCAGGATTTTACCGAGTACAAATCCTCCGAAAAGCCTATGAAAACGTTACATTTTTCTCTGTTGGTGCTGTTCTTGCTTCATTATGAATTCATTTTTACTCCCATGAGAGTTCCATGGAATTTCCATGGAATTTGTGCTTTCGAGTTGTTTGTGCTGAAACGCATTTTCTCGTATAATACCCCGTACACTTTGAAATGGCGATGCCACAATTTACCCCGCAGCAGAGAGCTTTTATGGTATCAGAGTTCCTCCGTAGCAACAACATAAACTTGGTTCGCCAAAGTTTCACGAAAGAATATCCAGATGTACGATGCCCTTCACGTTACATATACATATACATATACATATAACGCGTTCCAAAGAATTTTGAACAATTCCAAACTTCGAATTTTGACTCAAATTTGCAATATTTTGCGGAGATTTCTCATTTTTCTGCCAAAATACGGTATAATTGCCAAGTCAACGTAATTTTGCCCCAAATTTCAAAGAAAAAGGCGATTTCCTGCGAACTTGTGTCGAAATTGTATTGATATATAATCTTGATTTTCGCTGACAGCAATTCTTCTG